GCATGTAGATTAAGTCCCCAAAGTTTCAGCCCCATAGCTTTTGCCGGTCTCGAGATGAAAAATCGGCACAGAGGCCCAGCGCACACAAGACAACCTCTCGTCAATATGCGTTTTTCGCACTGCATTGCTGCAAAAAACGCATAAAAAGCATTTGTGAGCTAGAGCTAAATACTGTGCTATGAGATCTTGTAAATAGATAGACTGATGGGAACAATTAAAGGAACGAACAAAGGCTTTCGACAGACACTGGAAAATGCATAAGCAATGCACTAGCAGTTGTTAAAATAAGGCAAAGAATAAAAGGAAGACGGAAAAAGAATCTATGATTGGGAATGTTCCGGTTCATCAGAATAGGAATATTGTTCCACATTGGGAATATTGGGAATGTTCCATGGCATAAGTAAGCTTTCATGAACTGCCTCTAAGTGGTATTTTGAAAGCTCGCTAGAAATGGTGGTCAGGAGATCAGTGGCGAGGTGTTAAATCACCGATGCAAAGCGGGGAGATTGTTTTTATTGCAAATAGTTCTCGCAAGATAAATGAAATGCCTGAAGAAGGTCTGGGAATCGAAAATTGAGGTGATGCAGGACCGCCGCTGTTATGTTTGCGGTCAGACTGCGAATTGATGCCCTGGTACGGAAGAAATTGACTGCTACGTCTACCTCGTCCACGAAGTACATATGCGCCATACTCTTCAGCCAGAGACTGCACTGCACAGAACCTCCAAAAGTAAAGAAAGTGGGGCAATCTCTGAGCGCACGACACTAACTACAGTACTTGTGGATATAAGATGAAAAAAGACCTGGATTCGGTGAGCCTGCGCACGGTGTCGTGCACCCATATCACGATAGCATTGCGTTACAGCTCCGGTCACACTAGTGTCTCGATATTCGCGATACATGTTATGATGGTTCGTACGTGAATCATATCGCAGCCAGATACCATAATTTTTGACCGTTCCTGGCTTCTTTTCAAAAATCTGCAAGAATTTGAGTACAACACTGAAGGACTGCGAACAATCAAAATTTCGATCAACTAAAAAATTATCGAGATATTTACGCGATAAAGAAGTGCAAGATAAGCAACGCGATCAACAGTTAAAAAAAAAGACAGAATAAATTAAAGCCAAGCTCAGAAACGGGGTTACAACGCCAAAGAATGCCAAAGCTGGCTGGCAACAGATCAGTGAGAGCGCATCAACTCCATAAGTAGGAGGACCAACTCGACAGCAATGATTTAAGACAATAAATAGCAGCGCGCACTAGACCAGCCAGTGCGACTATGCGTTTTGTGCAATTCCACCCACCGACCAATTG